AACCAGAGAGAAAGGCTGCATGGCTAGAAACTGTAAAAAAAAAAAAAAAAAAGGGTCAAATGAAAACGGTAGTGTCCATCTGTGACTGGCTATACAAAACACATGTGAAAAAATGCGTGTAGACTTTGTAATCATAATTTCTGATCAGCCAAAAGCAATAAGCGCTAAAATACCTCCAAGCGAAACCTGCAGTTCTGCTCACGGATAACTAGTTTTTCTTAATATTATCTTCTAAGATATGAGATCTAGATCTAGATCTGATGCCAGTAACCTGACAAATGATTAAATCCAGCGATTAACCCATCTGCAAAACTGCTGAAAATAGCAACCTGCTATCTCATAAACAGTTTCATAAAAGTCAACCAATCACATTAGTCCGTGCCAGATCACAATCAAGATACCAGAACAAATGCTTCCCATTTTAAACTAAAAAATGCGAGAAAGACATCTTCCATTACAACAAAATAAAAAATTATAATAAAAGGAGGTTACATGCAAAGTGAAAAAGGCAAACATCTAGGTGTGCAAATCAGGTTTCGCGTAAACAATTTACGACCTTTCCACCAAATAGAGAACGTAGTTGAAGACATGACTAAACATGCTTCCAAAATAGCTGGTGCATGTAAACACCTTTTTTTGTAAACCCAGTTCCTCAAGATGAAAGTACAAAACATAGTTCCGTGAACAATGCAGCCATGCTAAATTGACTTTGCATAACCCACAGACATGCATTTACATAAAGACCCTGATCCAAGCTCAGTTTCTGCCTTGTTTGTGCAGAAACTCTTAAACCGTCCACCTTGTCTAAAGGACGCACATACATAATGCACAAGCCGCCTGTGTTTAAAGTGCTGATGGGAATTTATAAACTCCAAACCAATAACTCCATTTTTGGCCCCAGTCCACCAACGCATTACTTACTGGCAGCAACCTGAGGTCTTTTAATCGGACCTTTATGAAACAATTCAGCAACGCATTTTGTAAGTAAAGTAAAATCATTTGATCTTTAACTGCTGGCTATTAGCTGTGCAAAGTCAATAGTATGAAATTAAAATGTACTATATTTACTTTCATAATGTGAAATCCTGGTCTTGTTGTGAATGAACAACATGTAATGATGAATTCCTTCAGCTGATGAAATCTAGGCCAAAGTGCTGCTTATTTTTACGAGTGCTGGTAGTCTTTCAGGAAGTAGTTAGTCCTCCACAACAGATTAACGATAGTTAAAATGAAGTTCAACTTCACACTTTTTTCTTTTCTTAAATATCCTGTTTCACTGAAATATGACAGTAAAATGGGTTGCAGATACTTAGATGTACTTAATGTGGATGTCAAAGCTAACAACTATGTCAAACCATCCTGGTTACAAAAAATGTTGTTTAACAGAATAGTTCTCCAAAAAATTAATTTTAGCATTACATCACTTGCTCAGCAATGGATGCTCTGCAGTGAATGGGTGCCGTCAGAATGAGAGTCAAAACAGCTGATAAAAACATCACAATAATCCACAAGTAATCCACACCACTCCTGTCCATCAGTTAATGTCTTGTGAAGCGAAAAGCTGCGTGTTTGTAAGAAACAAATCATTAAGGTGTAATAACTTCAAAACCTTCGGCTAAAATACAAGTCCATAATCCTAAATAACACATCCTTGAGTGAAAAAGTCCATATAAAAAGTCCTCTTTCATCAACAAATTTATTTGTTTACTTGTAAACGGTGCTTGATCTGTGCATATTTCTCTCCCGATTCAGACGAAATGACTTTAAGAGGATATAGCATTTCTATGGATTATAGACTCGTGTATTTTAGCCAGAAACAATGGTTTGAATCCAAAAACTCCTTATTGATGCATTCGTTTCTTACAAACACAGCTTTTCTCTTCACAAGGCATTAACTGATGGACTGGAGTGGTGTGGATTACTTGTGGATTATTGTGATGTTTTTATCAGCTGTTTAGACTCTCATTCTGACGGCACCCATTCACTGCAGAGCATCCATTGCTGAGCAAGTGATATAATGCTACATTTCCTCAAATCTATAAATGCTGTGCAAGATGAAACCTGTCGAATGGTCTTTAGTTCACACAGTAACACACCCCGTCCAATTCACGTCCCAGGCTCAACTGAATAGCAGGAATGTTTCCATGTCACTTCAGTAAAAGCGTTGTTAGTATTTCTCATTAACTAAGCTTGCACGACACCATCAGTAATCCTCCAAAAGTCACTCATCATCAGGAACTCTATCAGGAGTCTATAACTAGTACTCCAGCTGGGAGTCACGTTTTACATCACCAGATTTAAAGATCAAATCGTTGCAAAACGGATTAATCTCAAATCTCAAAAAGAGTGCATGTAATAAATAATGGAAAATATCCACTGTGGTCATTCTTAAAATAAAAAATTTAAGCATGTTTATATATACATTA